GCCTTCTTCTTCTGTTTGTCCACCACTACTATGTCCGGTTGGTTGGGCATTACCAGTTTGTCAGTTTGTATCTGGAAGTCCCACAGGATCTTAGCTTGGTCATTCTCAACCACCTTTGGAGGTGTATCCCATTTTGACTTTGGGACTTCCAGCCTGTACTCGTCACAGATGTTTCTGTACACTATGCCAGCCTCGTGGTTATGGCGTTACATGTATGCCCTGCTTGCTAGCATCTTAGCTCAGTGGTTAACACCACTGACTTTGGTACAGAAGGTTGGGGGTTTGAACCACAGTCAGGGTCAATATCCAACCTGGGTCCTTAGGCAAGGCCCTTAATACTACCTGCCTACCTCATTGGTAATGAGAGTTGGAAAAATAAGAGTCACAAGGGCTCAGATGTTGCCCATGTCAACAAGGTCTGCATCAGGAGTTGAGGAACCAGGGCAACCTGATGAGAAGTGGGCTACTGGAACAATACATTCATGGACAAGAGAGAACAGGGAAATATTGGAATGCTACTATACAAGTAACCCCAGCGAGAGGGGTTACATATGTGAGACATATATATACTACGTTCACTTTTATTTTTGCAACATACTCTATAGCTAAATAAGCAGCATACAGGAGAGTGAATAGGGACCGCTGGTGGTCACATTTTCCAGTATTTTCTTGTGAATGTGCAAGCATTTTTTTCATACCTCTCTATTTCTCTTCAGCAATTCTATAGCTAATTATTTGTCCTGGTCAACAAATTATAATGTTCAAGTCACACAAGATGTGGCTTCAGTCTTGCTTTGCCAAAAATTCACAATGTTATTGTGGCAGCTATGAATAAATAGTTTTATATCACAATTGGCCTCAAGTCATTTAATGTGTTCTTTTCACCACAAAAAAATCATTACTTAAATTATTTTTAATATAAGTTGCCATTAATAAGCACACTACTATTTTTGAGGTAAAAGCCAATTGATGGACCTGTCACTGGCTGAAATAAGAAGAGATACCAAGCCCAGAGGGAGTGGGAGAGGACATTCCACTGGCACTACTTTTTGTTAATAAAAAAAAACATTTGCAATAGACCTTTAACTTCAAATAGCCTTCACAGCAAAGGCAAAAACACAAAACAACTCAAGGGAGAGCAGATCAAGTGAGATACAGCCAAGCAATAAATGTGTGATTTATTTGTAGTGCATTCTGAGGACACTGCATATTGAGCAAGAGGGAGAGATGCAGAAGAGGAAGAAAAGAGTAGTAAAGACAGAGATTTATATGGAGGTGGCTCTCTTCTGTCACATATGATCCCATGGGAGCTGGCAGGAGCCCTCAGGTCATATTTCCTCACTGTGAAGAGGCAGTGCTCCACCCTTCCACCTCCACTGAGACAATGGCCCCTGCTCTTCTTTCTTGTTTGACCTCTGTGTATTACCACACACTCACAGTCTGCACATATTCAGTGTCATGTTGTGAAAAAGCTTCAGCAGATCCTATTCGTTGTTATTCAGAATGGCAGCAGGGATGATTTGTAGATTCTGAAAGGCATTAATCTCTAATAACCATTGCATCTGAGTGCAAAGACAACATCACTCCACATTCACACACCCAGAAACATTCACACCCTCGTGTGATGGAGGTGACAGCTGTGTTACTGCCTATAAAGCAGAAGAGGCCATGATAAGACACATGTCCTAAAAGGGATGAGATAGAAATATTGCTGTCTCTTACTGTACATCACTGTAAATAGATACAAAGTATTGAATTGCAGCTCATACCCAAATGATGAAAGCCTTTACAAAAAGGCAAAGTGCAGATTACAGAACTATTGTTAATACTGTAGGGTTGTTCACAAGTTGAGAATATTACAAAATTTACATTTTAAAACAATGATGTCTTAATCTAAACCTGACAGAAATTTGATAGGCTTAATGTGCAGGCAGATCTCTATTTGCATCACTTTGATAAGGCTTTCAAACTTACTGTCATGCTGCCTCAAAAACTGTTGAATGCCTATATTTCTCTGTGGGTAGGTTTTTTCTTTTTTGTCCTTTGAGTGCTGAGATCAAGCCAAACACAGGCCACATGGAAAATTCAAACCAAGAATGAATTTCACTCCAAGCATAATGTCAAACAGATATAAATGTGTGGCAGACCTTAACATTTGTTATTTACTGATCTGTGTTTTGTTTTGCACATAGCTCAGTCACATTTTAGTTACATGTTCAACAGAGTTCATGAACAAAGATTGGAAGAGCCTTGTAGCTTTCTGTTTATAAAGATGAGAATAAATGTACCTGTATTTCTGTCTTTGTTTAGTCTTTAATTAGTAAAGCCCTGTAGATCCAAAGACCTGCTACTGTAGTTATATTTTGGTAAATCAAAAATGCTGGTCACTGTTGGTCTTTTGATCAAGCATTTTAAAAATGAAGCATCTGACATTCTAATGGAACAGATATAACCAGCACTGGTGCTACACCATCACAATGACTCCAAACTGAGTTAAAAACTGTGCGTAACAGAAATCCTTAAACATCCTTTCATGCTCACGTTATTTGTACAGACATTTCAGACAGTTGTCTACAATATGTAGTCTATATGTTTCCTACAAGTAAAGTGCAAATCACTACTGAGATAAAACGCCCATGTATGCATAGTACAAGTCACACAGCAGGACATAAAACAGAATTACTTAATCTGAAATGGAACACAAAGCACCACAGTGCAGCATAAACACAGAATGGCCGGTTTTGTTGTTTATAACATTAAACAGCCTTACATGCCGTTCCGCTCTGGTTTTTGACTAACTGTGTGAATAAACTTAGAGTGGATAGTATGGCTGACCAGAACTGTCTGACTCCATCAAAATTCTAATTAATTCTGCAACCTAAAGTCAGTCAAATTTAAATACAGATTATTCTGAATATATAGCTATACAAAGTTACAAATAATATAAAACCATAAACATAGGCTATCATATAAAATGACATATTTACAATGTGGGCTGCAAAACCCTGGCATGCACAGTGAAAATGAAAGGTGAAATTTGCATTGGCAAATTCAACTTGGCACAGAATGTGCAAGCTCAGTGTGAAATGCATGTTGGGTTTTTACATTTGAGTTGAAATATGGAATACCTTTAGCTGAGATAGCAAAATGCATTTAGATTAATTTCAATAATGATAGATTTATGGCAGGTTTGGTATCTGAAATCAGTCACTGTCATTGATTAAAGCACCTTGGTAAGATCTAAACCGGTCACTGGGAGTATAACAACTCACAGAAAGCTGATGATTCATGATTCATATCCCCCCTGTGGCCAACTCAGGCATCCCTATCTAAAAGTTGTAATTAAAATGAGGTTCACTGTCTATAATGAAAGGACTGACTATAGTTCTCATTAGATGTAATTGTGTAATCAAAAACAAATGTGACAAATCCAAAAAAATTTGGATAATTTGCATTTTGTCATAAATCATGGCCAATCAATTACACATGGACTGAATAATTTTAAAGAAGTAATGGCAGTTCTGGACTTTTGCCAGGATACAATTGGTTTCGTACAAGTTCTACACCACTGACATTGTGAAAACATGCAAAGCTCCATTGTCAAATTGGTTAGTTTATTCTTATTGGAAGGATGCTACAGGCAATTATTTGATTAAGCTCCAACTCAGAGAAAACACATCCACATCTCCTGTCACAATAAATCAGACATGATGGTAGAACACTGGAGGCTTGTGTTATATTATTTCCCTGGGATAACATCTACAAACAAATCTTGCAAGCTGACAGAAGGGAAAGTGGCCTATGGATGAAACTAGTCTTGCACACTCACCAGTGGCATTACAGTCTGAAGACCCATGAAATGCACACTGACTTTTTTAAAAGCCTTTAGAATCACATTTTTAATTTAATTCAACTCAGATTTCACAATGTAAGAATTTTGTTTGCTAATTTGCAAACACTGATGTATCCATGCTGATCTATGCAGCGTTGAGGTAGGAAAAAATGGGAATCCTCAAGTTCTTAAAAAGTGTTTATTTCAAATTAAGAATTACAACATTTATAATCACATAAAAGGTAACATCTGTACCAATGTTTACACAATCAGTACAACTCTCTGCCTCGAACTTGCACCTCACATCCGCCACTCTAATGCCAGTTTTTGCTACAGTACTTTAGCAACATACAACAGTCTCACAGTAATCTTTTAATTATCTGGGTTAACTAGAACAGTAAGAAACATGGAAATGTATTACATAATATGGAACGTTTTGTCTGATGGAAAGAGTTGTAAGAAAAGGAGGTTCAGCTGGTTATGAGTAAGTCATGGAACATTGGTTTTTCATGGTGACCTGGTTTATGTTTTGAAGCCAGAGCTGAGTATGTGACAATTACAAAGAGAGTACACCTGAGAGTACCAGACCTTTGTCTGCCAAAATGAAAGTCTAACTGAACAAACACTAAAACTGAAACATAATAGAGATTACACCGTTAATCACTGTGACATTCACTTACAGACAGACTTTCATAAACATTTGACAGGAAGTTAACTTTGGTTAATAAGAACATGTATTTGATAATGCACTTCTGAACGAACACTGGTTAGAAAACAACATCAGATGCTGACAGAAGTATGAAATACAGCCTCAAGTCAACAAGTTAAGTCAAGCAGTGTTAGATGCCATGGCTGCAACACTTCATGCATAGATCCTTCTACTGACAATGTGCATTATAGGAAGACATCAGATAACTAGCAGCTTGTCACAGCTGCCAGCAGCTTCAGTGCAGAAACCATCATTCATCATTATCTGCAAGAGAGAGGTGAAAGAATCCTGTTAGAACAGATAATTCATGGGTCTTGAAATAAAAATAGGACAGGAAAGGAACAGAGAATAGAGAATGGCAGAAAAGCGGATGACTCCAAAATAGAAAAAAGAATTGTTAAACAGAGATGTTCACTGAGAAAACGTATCTGCTCCCAAGCTGAGGAAAACTTGTCAAACTCAAAAGACACAACCCCCCCCCCTCCCCTCTTCATTGCACTTGTCTGAAAACTGACTTGGCACAAAGAAAGACAAAACAGACAGACGTGTTAACGTTGCGTTTCAGATCTATTTAGTCTCTTCATGACTTGGAGAAGCTGCAGTGGCATGAGAAGAGGACAGGATTCTAGAGATTACAGTAAACACTCAGCATACTCTGACATAGCTTTGTGCTATGGGAAAAACACTGAGGATAATTCACCACAGCTGCTGACAAGGACAACTGAACACAGTTGTTGGGTAGGATGATTAAAAGAGATGAACATGTATTGTGGTTGATTACACAAGTGACCTAAAAACCCAGGAGAAAAGAGTGTTGTGGAAATGGAGATAAATAAAAAAGGAATAAAAGGAGGATGGAAAAGAAACCTAAAAAAGTAACCAATTGTTATGGACAAGATTAAATTAAACAGAAAAGCAGCCTGCTTTTCAGAGACACAATGGAAATGATTGAAAAGATAAAACTGTATACAAACCCTCTTGATATGCCCCATCTGCCATCACCAGATGAAGGATGTTGGGATACAGATGCTGGTGCTCAGTTCCCAAAATGCTTAGGACCAAACTGGAGCCCTGGTCAATATTCTCATCTTCGTCTTCATGTATAGCCTTGAGCACCAAAACAACAAGGCATCTGTTCAGTCAGTCTGTTCTAGCGCTGCTAAACAGTGAGGTTGCATGAATGACATCAATACAGTAAGCATTTCCAACCTTAATCTTACTGTAGGCCTCAATGAACCTTTCAAAGCCCATCTGCTGCTCCAAGTTGAAACGAAGCTCTTCCAGACGACTGAAGATGCTGTCGTGATGCTCTGCCTCTGCGCCCTGCTCCTCTCCACTACCATCTATAAGTGCAGCACTATTTATCAGTTCTCACAATACTCTTATCACTCTGAAGGTACTTCGTTGATAAATATTACCTTTAAAATATCCAATTATATCATTTGATATTAAATATTTATTAAACTTTTTTTTTACAAGCTGAAGTAGGTTTCAACAGTATTTATATTTAGAAGCAACCAATGGAAACAAGCTGCAAAGGTAACTAACTGGGTTCAAAAATGTGAAACTTTTCATTTTTAAGTCACATATCTTTACAACACTGATGAGTCCAGGGTTCCTACTACCTGAATGCCACTCTTCATTGAGCTGGCTGTTACCACGGTGGTTCTCCTCTCCCACACCATTGGTAAGCAACTCCCCTACTTCCTCATCACCAGGACTTCCATTAGAGCATTCCTCATTATCGTTGTCGTCATCGTCCTCCTCTTCACCTTCTTCTTCCTCATCTTCCTCCTCCTCATCATCTACAACCATCTGACTGCCGTCCTGTTCAATCTCCGCTGCTATCTTGTTAAAAAGCTCATGGTCTTCGCTTTCTGAAGGGTTTCCACTAAAGTCTCCTGCACCAATCTCTGGCGAGCTCCTCATTAAGTCACCCTCTTCTTGCAGCAGTCTCTCCATGGAGGCCCTGATGTCCCGCAGGTCTTCATCCTCATATACACTGCAGAACAGAGCATATTCTTATCACATAGCCGCATTTATAGCCACGTTTCTTTCGGGAAAAAAAAGGTACCTGCACCATCTCATATGAGTTCTAGGTATCGATACTTTTATGGCATTGACTGCATTACTTCAATACCATCGAGTATTGAAAAATGACGAATATTGAAAAATGCTTTTCTACATTTTTAAACAAATACTGAAAAATGCTTTTCTACATTTTTATTTATTGATGTTAATGCTACAGAACGTAAGGTTGTGGTAAATAAGTTTACTTTTTATCTTATGAAACTGCTTTGAGTGCACAAAAATGCCGAGGAATTGAAAAATAAAACTAATAATCTGTACCAAGATGCATAATGTATGTATATTTCTTTTGTTCAAATTGATTGTCTAAAATTGGTATCGAAAAAACTATTGTTCAGGAACCAGCATCAAAGCCAAGGTACTGGTATAGAAAACTTTGGAACGATACTCAGTTCTACTCATAATGTTGTCATTGACACTTGAAAATCACTCTGATTAAGGTAAGAGATCGGTCACCATTACTGTAAACTACCTGACATCTTCAGTCTGTAGCAGTATAATTAAAAGTGTGCATGCTGCAGTGAAACCTTGCATTTACCAATAAAACACACCTACAACACAGAACATATAGCCCTCACTTTGCAAGGATTTATGATAGGACAAAATCACAGGGTAGGCCTGAAAATGTTTTTGAGATTTAATTTGTGTCTGTCTCTCTTACTCAGTCTCTGACTGGTCGTCATCTTTAGCTGCCTCATCCAAGTCCTCAATTTCCAGGGTATTGTCTGGGGCAATGTTAGCATCAGCAGTCAGTGCAGAGTCCTGCTGAGGGCTGAACAGGCGGCTGAGGTCTGGTAGAGAGCATGTCCGCAGCATCTAGCCGTGCAAAGCAAACATATTGGTATTTCGATGGCCCTCAGACTTAACAAAACAGGAATCAGCTGAAAAAAATAAACATGTCAATTATACCATTACAACTGAAAACTAGTACATTAAAAAAAGCATATGAACATTGAAATGGGATGTGGTATTTTTACCCATAAGGAAATGCAACTATAAACAACTCCCAAGTAAAGAACCAAAACCTACAAAATACAAACAAAACCCACCACATTCATATTCTGTGTACCTCTTTGTGTAGATAAAAATGTTACTAGGCAGATCTCACTGACCCTGATAAAGGTTATGAAAGATATAGGTTGATGGATGCTCATTCTGTCCCATCAGACCCACTACAGGTTCATACTATTTGATTAATGGTGCTGGCTCTGCTCCAGACTCCATCATTAATAAAGAAGACTGAAGTCCTACCTAAAAATACCACACACCTCGACATCACACCAGGAACACAAGCAAGTGTGAATTTCCTCAACCACTGTAACAGCTGCTCCCCGATCACAGTTATTCTTTAAAACAAAACAAAACAAGAAATCCTGAAACCCACACTGTCATGTGATACTTACCTTAGTGGATTACATAATTAGACCATTCCCATTAACAATGTAATTACCAGACAAAAATCAAAGGTGTAATGTACAGCCAGCAATCACCTTAGGGTTGTTGGCGTCAAACACTCCCATAGAGAGACCAATGAGGAGGGAGTTGTTGTGTTTGGAGCGCTGAGGTGAGACGGAGCGTGAGCGAGAGGCCAGAGATGAGGACGATTCGTCCAGAGAGGACTGGGCTGAGAGGGCCGCAAGGGCAGCAGTGCGTCGGTGGGCCAGGGAACACAGCTTAATAAACAGAGGTTCCTTGCACTGGGCTAAATCTTGGGGACAGGGAAGGAAGGGCAGATTTAATTAAGATAATAATCATGCTGCAAAATAAAGTAGCTCTGATTCACTAAGCATTCATCTCACCAGAAGATTCTGATGGTTTCTGTGCACTCTTCTCACCCTCCCTGGTGCCTGTTAGTCTTGCGTTTCCCTCTCGTGGCCTATAAGTGAAATACACTTTAGCTGCACAGACATTAACAAATGGTTCACTCCAAAATAAAACATTAGCTGTAATTCAGTAGCATTGTTCATTTAAATACACAGGGTACACCAAGTTTATCTCATACTGGCGTGAGTAAATGACTGAATTTACACTTTGGTGTGAAAGGACAAATGTCTTTGTTAATATAAATAATAATAAAGATGAATAGTCACATTGGCTGTTGGGCTTCCTGCTCCCACGCCTGCTGCACACCAGTCGGGTGATGTGGTGCCTGTTTAGGTGTCATTTCCAAAACCACTGACTCCATGTCTTCTGGATCTGGAAGAATTCAGGCCTGTACTGAATTGTACTGTACTAAAAATATACTTGGAAATGAGAAGATGAAATATCTGATCAATATCAGACTGAGTGACATACTAACCCTGAGATTCAGTATAGCTGGGTGGAAGTGTCACTCTTTCTGTTGTGCCAGTTCCAGACATTTCCTGATGTGAGGACTCTGTTGGAGCTGTACTCTCCGCCTGAACCTCAGAGCTCTGGACCACAGTAGATGGTGCTGGATTAGACAACAACACCTTGTTAGGTGTCTGCACAGTCTCAGGTGCCAGTGCCTGGTTGAGTTCATCTGCAGAGAATATCCCAAGATGGTTTTGAGCTTTAAAAGATGCCTGTCTTTAATGAAATAGCATTACTGCTGATTTTTATCAAAAACATTCTTTTTTTTTTTTTATCCATCAACTTTGTGTCAGTGATTATTGCAGCTACAGTGTATATGAGCCATTGGCTGAGTGTAACTGAACGTGTACTCTATAGTCCAAAACATTTCTCCCTCCTTTATGTGGTTGCTGACAAATGCTCTGTGTGCCCCCAAGATAGTCAGTGTGACAAACTGATGAACTAAGTTAGGCTAAACTAAACATCTGGCAAAATTAAATTGCGTTTGACCAACAGAGTTTGCACTAGAGAGAAGCAGGCTCTTCAGTCAACTCAAGAGAAGAGTGAGACACTGGCAAAGCTCTTGACACATGCAACCAAGATGGAAAAAACAGCTAAAAGAAAGTGTTACTTGAATAATGCTTTAAGGCTTATGCTGCTTGTGTGTTTGAGTGTAATCAAGACTTGGCCTTATTTGGATGGCAATGTAAGAACATGAAGAGGGCCTGAAGACCAACCATGGCTAGAAATCTCCGTGTCACAGATGGCAACACTGTCCAGCTGCTGGGTGAGAGGCTGAAGCTCTGCCTCCTGAAGTACTCTCAGCACCTGGCTACGTGGACCTGGTCCCCACACTTTCCTAGGAGCTTCCTCCTGTAGCACACCCATCTGTATAACTTCACCTGTCGCTTGCTCTGAGACATTTCACACACAGAGACAGAAAGGAAACTTGCAATTTTAGTCAGTCCACTCACAATGGTTGTAATTTTCAGGAAATAAGCATGTCATTCAGGGTGAAGTTAGCTCACCAATGGTTGGGATACATGTCTCCTCTAAAGTTTGTTGTGCTACAGAGAGGACAAGGGGAACTCCTGCCTCCCACTTTTTCCTGTCTCCACCAGAAGGTGATATATCCTCTGAAGACACTAAAGTGGCAAATGTGAGAATGTTAGGGTTAAAAAAGACTAAGCAAAACCTTTTATAGATGCACCAATGAGTATGAATTTCATTATCAAATTCACAATGAGCTTGACACATACTAGCATCACAACAGTATTAGTTACATAATTTGGAAAGTGGCAAATACTTAAAATAAGTACAAGTTTACCAGGAAGTAACCACTGTCAGCATATAGGACAAAAAAAAAATCTATGTTCTGCAACGCAAGGCACATGACAACTTTGTCCAGCAAAAGTTCAACTCACTAGTTGTCATAGCACAGGTTTCCCCTAGTGTTTGCTGAGCTACAGCAAGTACAGGCAGTTCAGCTGCATCCCACTTCTTTCTGTCTCCATTCGAAGGACGTTTCTGTGTGTCAGACTGGTTCTGCTGGGGAGCAGGACTGGGTTCTGCAGAGGGTAGGGGTGACTCCTCGAACTCCTCCACTGGAGCTTGAACTTTTAGGTTCTGGTTAAGTCTGTGCAGTATCTGCTTTTTCTCACTCTATGAAATGAAAAGCATTATCTTTTTAAATATAGAATTAAGAAAGATTCAGAATCAGGACACAAACCACCAATTTTGGCTCACAGTAACTTTAACAAATGATTTCTGACATCTCATAAACTCACCTGAACAGCTTCTGGCTGAGACAAATTCTCTTTTACTGGAGAAATCTGTCAAACACAAAATGTAAAACTGATATTGCCACACAGTACATACTTTACCTTAACAAAAAGATGCAGTAGGGTATAAGATTTGTACAATTACACTGACTGCTCCAACATTCTTCAGGGCAGCAGTCAGGGATATAGCTGGGGTAGGGGGTTTGAGTGCAGGCAGGCCTGGAGTTTCAGCAGCTAGGTCTGGCTCAGCAGGTTTGGTCTGTGGAAGCGGACTGTCAGAGGTAGTTGATACTGCTACTGCTGGGTTTCCTGCTACCATACCAACCTTCACCCCCCGAGCTGCAAGCTTCAACACATAATACCAACAATTAGACTATATTTCAACTAATGCATCAGTATTGCATGCTATTGGCCAAGGAATAATAAGAGGAAATGAAAAATGAGTTACATGGTCCTCCCAAGCTCTCTTTTCTCTCTCATATGCTTCTCTCCTCTTCTTCTCTAGCTCCTCTTTCAGTACAGCAGCACGGGCATGTGCTTGGGCCTGGCAAGTACATACATACAAATGAAGAGGAATGAAGCTATAGCCAAACATGCTGTGAAGATCAAAGTGAGATTTGTCCAATCATGCTGCCTCCAGTTAAAATGCCATCTGTCTAGTTGCTAATTTATACTAAACATTACAAGCTGTTTTTATTCCTGTCCACTTACAGTTTACACACGGTTTGGCATTCTATAAGTGTGATAACAGCTTTGTATTATTTCTTTCTACACTAATTGTCAGGCAACTGTAGCATTGATTACAGGATTGTGTCACAAAGCTCAGACCGGTCAGGCATCTAGCTACACATCTGATCTTTTCATTTCCATGAAAACAACCTGAGAAACATGTCAGAGACTGAGTCAGTCAGGCACTGTGTGGATTAGACTGATTTTATTAATTTTATTCATTGGTTTTGAAAATGTGTAGAATCTATGTTGCCCTTTGGAAAACATTTCAAACACATTTTGAAAAGAGATGTATAAATCCATCCATCCATTATCTAGAACTCTTATCCTGTAGAGGGTCACATGGAGGCTGGAAACAATACCAGCTTACACTGGTCACCAGTCTATCACAGGGCTGGCACACAGAGACAAACAACCATTCACCCTCACATTCACACCTACAGGCAATTCAGAATCAGCCTCACTTGCATGTCATTGGACTGGGAGGGGAAGTTGGAGTACTAGAGGTGAATCCATGTACCACTACTTGCATCCACATTTCCCTCTGTTGCATCTTTTCCTTGCGTTTTAGTCCCACCCACACAAGGTGTAAGGAAAAGATGCAGAGAATAACTGGGAGGAGAGAGGAATTGAGGAAGCACCTTTAAACTGACATGAGGTGTCCTTTCCTCGAGCCGCCACGTGAAATGTCCAATCACAAACTGGTTTCTGACAAAGGGGTGTGTCAAAGGATACACCTGTGTATCCTTGGCTATGGCTATAGCTCCTCCTCCTCCTCCTCCTCCGAGCAGAAATAAGGTCCGCTGGTGGACCACAACGACCTCCAGGTCAAGTGAAGATCACAAAATGATAAAATAAGTGAATTGGGATTCACCTTAGGCAGAAATCTATGCAGGGAAATGCAAACTCACAAAGAAAGATCGGAATTTGAACCTTGAACCTTCTTGCTGTGAAGTGACAGTGCTAACCACTGCACCACTCTATCACCCGCAATTGAAAGTTGCAACTGTAAAACACAAATGCTTTCTGTTCCTGAACCCACCTTTAAAGCCTCTATCTTTTTTCTCCTGAGCTCTGCCTCTTCACTGGACTCCTGGCTGTCAGAACCATCACTGTCATACTGGAACACACAGAAACAGTCGTGAGACAAAGTGCCAAAGAAAACACACTTTCATTAAAGATACTCTCAGAGTCTAAGAGTGGAGGATTGTACCTTCTCTCCTCTGAGTCGAGCTTTGATCTGCTGACGTTCGTTGAAGTTCAGCAAACGGATCTGCCTCAGTTTTTTCAAGTACTCCTGAGAACAAATATTGAAATGTTACATACTGTGGGGTTGAAGACACCTGCACAGACACAGAGCAGGATACTGTCACATTTCAAACATAAACATCAGCATACATACAGTAGGCAGCACTCATTAAAGTAAAGCTTTATGTTAGCATCTGTACATTAAAACATCATTCATTCAGCCAGCATGGAGCAACACATTTTGCAGTTACCAGTGCAATAAACACATACACATTTACTGTATGTATTCCATTTACAACAAAAAAATTGTAATGCACAATGGAAAACTGAGGTGGGAGGTTACTGGAAATTGAACAAAATGCACAATAAATAAACAAACAATGGTATTTAATGTTTTGAACAGTAACAGCCATTATTGGGATAAACAAATGAAACACCTCACGTTTCACAGCAAAACACCACACATTATACAAGGAGTTTGCATGGGTTTGAGTTGCTGGGTTGAATTATGGGTGTGTCAAAGGGCGTTTTGTGCAGATGGGAGACGTGCCAAGCCAGACGTGCCATGAGTGGAGTGTAAGGCAGAGCATTCAGGCCTTGGCTCCTACCTCCTCCTCTTTGTTGGCTCTGGGTCTCCTGCACTGAACCGAACCAGCCCGGCTTCCATAGATTGCAGCCAGGTTTTGCCGAGTACCCTGTTTGTCATTCAATTTAACCACACTTTAGAAGGATGCAGGTCTTGTATTTAACTGCCACAACAGTCATGAGCCGGGGCCAGGGAACATTTAATTTAGTCCGTACTTTTCTAATAATGCTGAATCAAATGGCTACATGTAAAGTCACTCATAGTGATGAGGCCACAGAATTATCCCATTACTCTGCAGTGCCACAACAATTTTAAAGCCTATTTAGCTAATTGATTTTGGTTTTACAGCCATCAAACTTGTTGTTTGGTTTAGTCTCACCATTTGCATCAGCAGCTGCTTTCAAGGAAATAAGCTAATAAACAAACTGTGTGTTAACCTGCTGACCACCAAATAGCAGGCATAGACAGTGAGGAAGAAAGGAAAGCTGAAGGAGAGTCACTTTAATGCCAATTAAACATGCTGTATAAATACCTGAGAAGAGGCTTTATCATCCAGAAACAGGATTGTGTGTGAGTGTAGGCTAACCATAGGTATGCATGCAGTTTAAGTACATTTTACTACTAGAGGGCAGAAAAGTGCCAAAACAAACAGCAACAGTTTGCTTGGCTCATCTGATGGACTGTTTGTAGTAAACATACTTGATTAGGTTTGCCCCGAGAAAACCTGTGCTTGTTTAATTTCTGACACCAGCCACAATTTTACTCTGGCTAATTACCATAATACATTAGGCAGGTAGCTAAGAATACAATTGTGTGAGCTAAAGCAGATAATAAAATGCTCATAGCTTTGGAAGGGACTGGCAGTGAGAGATGCTGGGTCTCAACTTTATGGAGCAGCAAACAAACTATGAGCTGAAAACAGCTAAAAGCTGAGTGATTCTCAGTGGATTTCAAGTACCAACAGCCCTTTTACAATACACTCAGTCATTTTTGTTGCTTATTGGAGATCTAATACTCCCAGTATTTGAAAGAGATCCATCAGTGTCATGTTTCAAGACTGTCAAAGCCATACTTTGTACGAGGGATCATAATCGCTATAATGGCAAAGGTTCAGAGTTTCAGGGGCAGACCTCCATACCCATTAGGTTACCCTTAAACCTTCAGAAGTCACACAACGTACCAGCTGTCCCTCAGCACGGACTTTATTGAGCATGGCTTCTCTCTTGCGCTGTAAAAACTCCTCAACCTGATCGGCATGCTCAACAGCCATCTGACCACGCCGCCTGAAAACAAAAATTAGGCATGAAATACTCTAGCTACTTGATGAGATGTTTAGTGTTATTTACTGATTAGAGAGAAGCTATCTGACTGACCTGCTAATACGAGCTTGTATAGAAACAAGCTGTAGCCTCTGAAGTTCTCTCTTGATTGCATAAGGGTTTATGAGTCGGGCCGTGCCACGGGGCAGCACTGGACCAGCAGCGCCCGGGACACTTTTTACACGCAGAGGAAGTGACATCAACACAATTACAGTCAGGGAAAAATTATTTGAACCCCAGCTGATTTTGTAAGTTTGCCCACTAACAAAGAAATGATCAGTCTACAATGTCAATGGTAGGTTTATGTGAACAGTGAGAGACACAACAATAACAAAAAAATCCAGAAAAATGCATTACAAAAAAGTTATACATTAATTTTCATTTTCATGAATGAAATAAGTATTTGAACCCCTATCAGTCAGCAAGATCTCTGGCTCCCAGGTGTATTTTATACAGGTAACGAGCTGACATTG